AAAGTACAGCAAACCAGACTACAAGTAACATCATACAACAATGGAGAATTGAGTGTTGTATAAGGTGCAGGTCAGGCAGTGGATTGTGTGTCATCGGTCTAACAAAGCATCTCAGCCGAGATCCCCTCGACAATGAGGGCTCTCATAAAACAGAAGAATACTGTATCCCAAACAAAACAGAGAGGGACACTGCGTCAACAGATTTGGGTCCAAGGGGCCCTTCTTGTTTGGGCCCAGTCCCAATGGGTCCCAAGTAGGTCGCAACCAAGTCCCAACCAAGGAGAGTACCTCAAAGGTCCTACGTCCTGCCTCTACCGTACTGAAAAACGAATTTCAACTTCAAGAGAGAACCTACAAACCATATCCATTCACAGATGATAAGACAAAGCGTTGTAGAAAGATATGGCTTTTTAAGCAAGATACTGAATTTCCATCAGGTTAGTAAGTAGTTCGCACACCAATGCACACAACCAAGACTTCAGAGTAGGAAAGAGACCCAGAAGAACCCCGACACGACAAACCATACCATGCACACATACATGGGCAACCCTTAGGTGCACGGCACTTGCCTGCGAGGCATGGACTCTGAGATGAAGTATCACTCACCCCCCTGCCTGATGTGGTCTTCCTAACCCTATTCGCTACCTCTACATTAGTGTCCTATCATGTAGGAGGGTCTCACTTCCAACACCAAAGTGCAATGCCGGATCCCCCGCCGATGCTGAAGAACAAAGTAGTAACTTGCAGTCCGTAGATGCGGGATGGCTACCTCCCTCGAGATCGCCTACTTGAGGGAGGCCCTCAAGTCACCAAGTGTCTCCCTTAGGTCAGATTCCAGATGCGAGTGGCTCTCACCGTCGCCTCTCTCAACTTGTCGCATGAAGTCCTCTTGATGTGTCTCGCCACCACATGCGCACTCTCAATCTACCTGGTCAGGTTCAATGCCGACCTAACATGACCTAACCAGGTGAGGCCGGCTTCCCTAAGCCAACGCTGCCCCACTTCCCACTTCGGACCAACCATAACCCTAAGTGGTTAGCCCTTGCCTCTTTGGTAAGGGTTAGGGTGGATAAGTCCACTCTCACCAGCAAGTAGAATCCGCTCTGATACCAATGGTGCGATCCTGGCCAATTTTGAAGTACACATTCATCAGATAGTACAATGTCGTCCAATTGCAGAAAGAAATGAATGAACTTGAGAGAAGAGAGAGGGTAAGAAGAAGAAGAAGAGAGGAAGAAGAACAAGATGATGTACACCAGCATAGACAAATGATAATGCTCTTCTTCTTAGCCAAACTCTCGTCCTCCTTATCTCCTCCTCTCTTATTCACACAAGAATTAATAATACAATGTTGAATGGCTGAACCAGAATCAATGTCTGAATCCCTCTTCTACTGCAGGTATCACTTGAGGTCCACCATAGCCATGCTCTTCACTCGCATAGGCCAAGGCTATGGCGGACTACTGGGCCTTGCCCTGATGCCCAAAGGACAACCCAAAGCAGCTATGGCTGCTCTAGCTCAGGCCGCCATGCCTGACTCTGCCTCTAAGCTTCTTGGTGGAGCTCTGCCCCAACGGGGATCTTCCTGCTGCAGCGCCCACCAAGGTGATGAAGATGGCTGCCACCATAGCCAGGTAAGTGCCTTTGGCGCTCCCCCTTCCTCCTGGTCTTCTTCCTCCCCTGTGCGCTTGCTCCTTCCCCAGCAGCGCTGCTCTTGCTAGCGCTGCTCCAGCCAGCCCTCCAACCAGCGTGTTGCCAAACTTGCATACCGACAATGAGGCCGTGCTCTTTGCCCGGCCTGGAGATATAGCGGTCTGCTTGCCCCTTGGGCGGTGACTTCCAGGCCTCTCGGCCTTCCAAGCAACCGGTACCTCCTCCCTTTCGGAGGGAAACTTCATTGCAGACTCTGATATTGCCCATACAGGCCCTAGACTCAGACTGGTTGGACTGGTACCTGCCTAGACCTAGCCTACAACCACTGGGCCTCGAAAACTGCCAACTTTTGTCTTCTTCTGTTTGGCCTAGAGTAGCCGGCACATCTACCTCTTCCTGGTGTGGTACCGGCCTACCTGCTACTTGAGTGTTTCCCCGCTGCTTCAAGTGTTGCGGGCCTCTTTCCCCGCCACTTCCCCCCCATGCTGCTCCAAGTGTTGCGGGCCTCTTCCCCCGCCACTTTCCCCGCTGCAGACCATAATGTCACGGCCAGAGGTAGGTACCGGCCCTGAGGGCCCAACGAACGAACAGGTCACACAACACTCAAGCCAGCAAGCACTCAGACAGACATGCAGACCAACACGCGTGCACACACACAGACATGCAGACCAGCAAGCGTGCTCACACACACAGAACTTAGTAGCAAGCGGGAAACTCAGCAAGGCATTCAGTCCATGAGCAAAACTCAGAAATCAGCTATGTGTCTCAGTCCGTGTTTGGTCGGGTCATCACAGTAGCACCAACTCATGTAGCATAAAGCACGTAGCACACGGCTCCAAAAACGTTCCACCAATCTGTAGCACCAACTCATGTAGCACGAAGCACGTAGCACGTAGCACTAATCCACATTGCGGGGGGGGAGAGAGAGAGAGAGAGAGAGAGAGAGAGAGAGAGAGAGAGAGAGAGAGAGAGAGAGAGAGAGAGAGAGAGAGAGAGAGAGAGAGANAGAGAGAGAGAGAGAGAGAGAGAGAGAGAGAGAGAGAGAGAGAGAGAGAGAGAGAGAGAGAGAGAGAGAGCACCAATGTACGTTGCACCAATCACGGAGCACAAACCACGCAGCACGTAGCCAGTAGCACGTACCACGTTGTCGTCGCAGTAACTCGAGCAGCGCGAACCATGTGGCACCACACATGAATCACGTACCAACACACCGGTTCACCTACCAGAGAGAGAGAGAGAGGGAGAGAGGGGGAGAGGGAGAGGGAGAGGGGAAGGGAGAGAGAGAGACCACGTAGCACCAACTGGTCCAACTCCAAGCACTTTGCATGTTCCACCAATCCGTCGCACCAGCTCATGTAGCATAAAGCTCCTCACACGTAGCTCAACCCATAAATCCCGTAGCACCAAAGCACAAAGCAAGGAGCAGCACCGGTTCACATACCACATAGAGAGAGAGGGAGGGGAGAGAGAGAAGCCGAGGGTGGAGCTGAAAGAAAAGAGGTTTGAACGGAGCTGAGATGGGGGGGGGCTCGGGTTTCTGGGCCACGGACACCCGGCACAAGCATCTTCCCACACCTGACCTCCCCAGGGATATCACGTTGCAGCAATTTGTCTCACCAACTCACGTAACACAAAGCACTCACACGTGGCTCAATCCATAAACCACGTAGCACCAAACCACGAAGCACTGAGAAAACCAACTCACATAGCACAAAGCACTTCACACCCTCACACCCAGCTCAACTCATAAACTACGTAGCACCAAACCACGATGCAAGGACAAATCACACCAAAGCACATAGAACATAGCACTGGTTCACATAGCGCTCTCACAGAGAGAGAGAGAGAGAGAGAGAGAGAGAGAGAGAGAGAGAGAGAGAGAGAGAGAGAGAGAGAGAGAGAGAGAGAGAGAGAGCTATGGTAGCACTATGCTTATGCTAGGCTACAGCTAGGGTAGCATTTCGCTACGGTAGTTAGGTCGGATAGGCAAAGTAGGTCGCTCACGGCAGGTAGGAACGTCGCATAGGCAGGCTCACGCTAGGGTAAAGCTACGGTAGCGCTGTGGTACCGTAGCTAGGTCGGGTAGGTAGGCAGGCTCACGCAACCGGTAGGGTAGAGCTACAGTAGCGCTGTGGGACGATAGGCAGGTAGAGAGAGAGGGAGGGGAGAGAGAAGCCGAGGGTGGGGCTGAAAGAAAAGAAGGTTTGGACAGAGCTGAGATGGGAGGGAGCTCGGGTTTGTGGGCCACGGACACCCGGCACCACCATCTTCCCACTCGTGACCTTCCCAGGGATATCACGTTGCAGCAATTTGTCTCACCAACTCACGTAGCACGTAGCACCAAACCACGAAGCACGGAGAAAACCAACTCACATAGCACTAAGCAGCTCACACGCAGCTCAACTCGTAAACCACGTGGCACCAAAGCACGATGCACGGAGAAATCGCACCAAAGCACATAGCAAATAGCACAGGTTCAAGTAGCGCAGAGCGCGCCCACACATAAAGAGAGAGAGAGAGAGAGAGAGAGAGAGAGAGAGAGAGAGAGAGAGAGAGAGAGAGAGAGAGAGAGATGGTAGCACTATGCTCACGCCAGGCTATAGCTATGGTAGCACTTCGCTACAGTGGTTAGGTTGGGTAGGCAAAGTAGGTCGCGGACGGCAGGTGGGTACTCTAGGGTAGAGCTACGGTGGCGCTGCGGTAACGTAGCTAGGTTGGGTAGGTAGGCAGGCTCACGCAGATGGTAGGGTAGTGCTATGGTAGCGCTGTGGTACGATACGATAGGTAGGTCGGCTACGCAAAGAAGGTCATGCTGGGCAGGTAGGTACGTCGAGTAGGCAGGTCGACCCATGTCATGCAACGGGCAAACAGGGTACCCTCAACGTAAACTTCTAATCTGGGCCGTCGGGACCGATGTACCGGGCCAATGGCCTGGATTGGTGTGTAGTCTTAACATCTTAAAGACCGCGCGCTGCTCCCCCGTCTATCCGGTAGGACCCGATGGCCCGGATTTCAGATTTATTACATGTTTCCGATGATCCAGGCCGCAGGTCGGTAGGACCGACAACGGCCTGGATCACAGATTGGTTCCCTTATCAATTTCAATTGTGTAGGGATCATGGAAGAGAGGACGTGTGATGCACAAACATCTTAAAAGGATTCCTACTTTATGTACAGGAGCAAAACTGAGTCTGTGATGCACCATGTGCAATATGGGACAACAAGCCTGACATCTAGTCCTTTGGACACTGCGGACGCAACATGGGTCCTATCCACTGTGCCTTTAAAACAAACCTGGGCCTTCATTACCCCGCATAGAGACCAAGATTGTGTGCAGGAGCACATACCTTTTGAGTGTTCACCCCCAGGCTGGACTGGGCTGGCAACTGGCAAAGATGACAATTCATCCTTCAATGTCAATTTCTCCTCTTGTGTGGATGGGCTTCGGACCGTGGCGGGTGTTGGGACTGCGGCGGGTGSTGGGATTCGGGCTGCCACTGGCAGTAGTGGACCTGATACTGGGGCTGAGACAAAGGCTGGAGGTGGACCTGGTGCTGGAACTGAACTTGCAGCTGGACATGATGCTGGACCACCTGGAGCTGGATACAGGACTGCAGCTGGAGCTGGACCTGGACACACGGTTTGAGGCATGGCAACAGTTGCATCCAGCCGTGCATCTTGTGGGCGTTCCGGAATCGAGCATGATGTCAGACCTTCCTTCTTGATCGCATCAATGTCCTCAGACACTCTGCTCGCCATTGATACCTCCTTCCTAGACAGGCCTTGTGGAGCCCCAGGGGAAGCCATTTGGGACTCAGATGGACTTGCAACTTCCACTTTTCTTCTCTTCACATCTGCCAATTCCATCTCTTCCAACTTCCTCCTTTTTACATTAGCAACCTCCATCTCCTCCCTCCTTCGATCCGCATCATCATCCTCACGTTCTCTCGCTCGCCTCTTTCGTCTCTCCTCTTCCAGCCGGCTATCCCTATAGCGCCTGCGATGACCCCACTCATCATCACTCTCCTCCTCTTGGTCCTTAATCTCTCTCCGCCTCTCTCTTTCACGCTCTCTCTCTCGTTCCCTTTCTCTTATCTGTTCCCTCTCTTTGTCTCTCTCCCTCTGTTCCCACTCCCTCTCCCTCTCCTCATACAACCTCTCCGCCTCCCTCAACCTCATCTCCCTTTCCCTCTCTCTTCGGGCTCTTGCCCTCTCCCTATCCCTTTCATACCTTTCCAACTCCCTCTCCCGCTCTCTTTCCATCTCCCTCTCCCTGTCCCTCTCTCTCTCCCGCTCACTCATTCGCCGAATAACAGAAGTGACCTCCACATGTCTCTCATATTCATAAGGCCCTTTCATCTCCGCCCCATCCTCATGCTCTCCTTTGCCACTCTTTTCTTCTCCTTTGCCTCCCTTATCCTCTAAACAATCAGATAACAGTTCCCACAGGTAAGCAAGTCAGTCTAAACAATCAATCAGATATCAGCTTGCAAATTAACCGGAAAACAATTTTGAATCTAACTTCAAACTATTACAAAGCTTCAAACTTCAGTCATACTCGTGAGCACATGTGAGGTGCACCCAAAAAGTGTTCTGCACCAAAAATACTAAATACAGAAAATATAAAAAAGCTACACAGCAGAAATGTTTTTTGCAAATCCAACAAAACACCATTTTGAAGATCGTCCCAGAAAAAAGTTCCTCGAAATACTTTTTTCACACCAGAAGTTTAATTTTTTGGAAAAGAATTAGGAGTTTTCTTGTGCACATGGAGCACATGCTATGTGCGAATGTAGTTTATGCACTGCACATGCGCAATTTGCAGACGTGATGCACCATTACTGAGTGCAAAGCTCAAGAATGGAAAAAGTTGGTTACACTTTTAGGGAAATTGCAAGGCATAAAAGAGGGGCATACACACACTACCGGCATCGGCCTCTGCATCATTGAAAAGAGACCAAGCGGTGCAATTACGTATCTTTTTTGGGTTCTCCCTTTTTTTGTTAAACTTCTCTTTCTGCGTTTTCTCATGGTCAGCACATATTCAAAAATAAAGGGCAGCAGACATGTTTCTGGTGCACTCTCTCTCTCTCTCTGTGTGTGTGTGTGTGTGTGTGTGTGTGTGTGTGTGTGTGTGCCGTGTCCATGCGTGCGTGTGTGTGTGTGCGTGCGTGTGTGCGTGCGTGTGTGTGTTATAGATTTTCCCCACAACAGCCCCAATTCCACCCACATAATAGATTCAGAATCAAAGCAGTCTTTGTCCTATTGCAGACAACAAGAGCATTTGAGATGGGACAGTCCAACATATTATAGCAATTTTATAATTATACAGTTTTTTGGTTGTCCTTGGGGTACCCCTTACATTTGTCGCAGCTTCCCTTTTACTCTCTTGTGTGTGCGTGTGCGTGTGCACATTGCACGCTATGGTCACAGGCGTTCACTTGCACGTGCGACACACACACAGGATTTATCATCTCAATCTGGACACGCTTGTCAAGAGGTGCATAAAATGGACACTCCGCACCTCTCCACAACATGACCAGATTCAGGTGTAAATTCTCACCCTGCTGACATAAATACCTGTGAACACAGCTGTCCCAAATCCCCATCCCAGAGTCCCCAACTGGGCCCAGTCCCAGATGGTCCCAGCCACACTATATCCCACTACCCGTCCGAGGCAGGCAAACTAAAGACGAACTAACAGCAGGTTCTATTTATAGCTGCTACAGTGCCAAGGGCACTTCAGTCGTTCATTTGCAACTTGTGGAAGCGTTGCTGGTTGCTTGTGCAATAGTGCGCCGCAGGGAGGAGACGGCGCTTGAAGTCGACCATAGCTACAATAAGGGAGTTAGGAAGAAAGCACCACAGCCAAAGAGGTGGAAGGCGAAACAATGCCAGTGTACTCATGGTAGATCCAAGTACGCGAGAGTGAGAGACAGAGCGACAGTGAGCTTGCGCGATACAAGGATTTAGAGAGAGAGAGAGAGAGAGAGAGAGAGAGAGAGAGAGAGAGAGAGAGAGAGAGAGAGAGAGAGAGAGAGAGAGAGAGAGGGTACATACCTGTCTGATTGTTGTTGGGTCGCGGCTTAGGTCACAGGATACTCGAACTTTTCCGTTGTATAATATAATAATTTTGAGTGAAGTTCTTCGTGGGCTGATTCGTGTATCATCTTTTGGCTTCCTGTGAACTCTCATGTGAGTGTTCTGCTCACGCATGCAGTGATTTGGGTTTGAATTCGGGAGGTTAGTTGGAGCCCGTGCATCCGCGGAGGAGGAAGTGAGCACTTGCAAGGATAAGGCCGGCGGGGGGAATTTGGTGTCAGGGTTGACTGGAGTGTGGAGGTCTAAGTAGAAGGGGCTACGAAGGGGGAGGATCGCAGGTGGAGCATGTACCTGCAAGGATTGAAGACCACCGAGGAGCAAGGAATCAAGACCTAGTGAAGTGCTGCTCTGCTCCTGGCCCTTGTCTTTTATTGCATGTCGCATGTTTTAGATGTTTCCACGTACTTTCTTGGTGGCGCTGTTGCTATATTTAGGTCATTTCTGTTGATGTCACTTGGTCACACTTGCTGAATTGTCAATTTTGAGTCTGCAATTGACTTGCTTGAGCTCGGTTGAGTCAGAGGATGCTCTCCTGGAGGAAAGGCTCCTCCCCATGTGGGCAAGTGGTTAGTGATTGCCGGCCTACCTGGGGGCATGCATACCCAGTGGGACCCTAGCCCTGTGGGAGATGGACTTGTGTATGCATTAGGTTGGTCTCGGGTAGACGCCCCACAGCTGGAAGAATCTCTTGCAAAGTGGGAAGCATGGGCTGAGCGGTGGACGCTCATAAAACAACCCAGCTAGCCCTAAGACCAGTACGGACCAGCATGCAAACGAACCAAGTAACACAGTGAGGAGCTTTAGGTCAGGTTAGGAGCTCAGCAGCTGGAGGTATCATCTGTGAAGTAGGGAGCATGAGCTGCAGGCACTCGTTAACCAACCTGTCTAGCCCTTAGACCAGGATCAGGATTAAGTGCTGAGGTGTGCAAGTGTTGGGGCTAGGTCTACATGGTGAGGACGCGGAATGAACTTACCACTGTCTTGACACATCACCACGAACGACTACCCGATGTTCGCCTTTCTCGCGTTGACCGTGATATGGGAGCAGTTGCTCCGTTATTGTTCCCCATTGCCTTCTTTGGACCAGTAGGATGAGAACCATTGAGCATAGGTCTGGAAAGAAGACCCTGCAGCCAACACATCCAGAGTATGAGGCGGCGAAAGAAAGGGGGCAGGAGAAAAAGGGGAAAAAGGAAGAATGTAATGACCCGCCATAACACAGACTGAGAACACTGCTGATTTCTGAAGTTCTGCCAACGGAATGGATGCCTTGCCGAGATTCCTGCATTCTGCTGTGTTTTCTAAGTCTGTATGTGTGTGTGCCTGTCTGAGTGCTTGTCGGCATGAGTGTGTGTGACCTGCAAGGGTACTTGCTTGTTTGGCAGGCCCATAGGGCCGGTACTTACCTGTGGCCGTGGCATTGAGGGTTGCAGCAGGGAAAACACTCAAGTAGCGGAGCCAGGGGCCCGCGGTGCTTAGAGCAGCGGAAAAACACTCAAGTAGCAGGTAGGCCAGTCCCACACCCAGTAGCAGTAGATGTGCCGGGTACTCGAGGCCGAGCAGAAGAAGACAAAGTTGGCATTTTTAGAGGCCCAGTAGCGGTAGGCTAGGTCTAGGCCGGTACCAGTCCATCCAGTGTGAGTCTAGAGCCTGTACAGGCAATATCAGTGTCTCCAATGATGTTTCCCTCCGAAAGGGAGGAGGTACCGGTTGCTTGGGAGGCCGAGCAGCCTGGAAGTCACCGCCCAGGAGGCAAGCAGGCCGCTATATCAAGAGGCCGAGGCAAGAGCTTGGCCTCATTCTTCAGTGCGCAAGTTTGGCGACACGCTGCTGGTGCGCTGGCTGGAGTGGCGCTGGGTACTACAGCGCTGCTGGAAGGAAGAAGCCGGGAGCTTCCACCTTGGCTATGGTGGAGCTCTACCGGTAGGCGGAGGAGGGAGAAGGGGACCAAGGAAGAGAGTTGTGGGGTACTTACCTGGCTACGGTAGACACCATCTTCATCACCTTGTTAGGCGCCGCATCTGGAAGGCCCCAGTGGGGGTAGTACCTCATCAAGGAAGCTCGGGACAGAGTCAGGCATGGCGGTCGAGTGAGCAGCGGCATAGCTGCATGGAATTGACCTGGGGACAGAAGGGCAGCGACATAGCTGCTCTGGGTTGTCCTTTGGACAGGAGGGAGAGCCCTCAGTACTCCGCCATAGCCTTGGCCTGTATGTAGAGGAAGAGGAAGGGTGGCCACGACTATGGTGGACCTCATGTTGTGCTTGCAGTAGAAGTTGGATTCAAACATTGATTCTGGTTCAGCCATTCAACATTATTATTGTTATTTCTTGTTTGAATAAGAGGGGAGGAGATAGGGAGGAGGAGATAGGTTGGCGAGGGAGAAGAGCCTTGTCATTGGTCTATGCTGGAGTATGGCGAGGGAGAAGAGCCTTGTCATTGGTCTATGCTGGAGTACATCTTCTTTCTTACTTCTTCTTCTTCTTCTTTCCCTCTCTCTCCTCTCAAGTTCATTCATTTCTTTTTGCAATTGGACGGCATTGTACTTTCTGATGTTTGTATACTTCGAAATTGGCCAGGATCGTAACATTGGTATCAGAGCGGATTCTACTTGCTGGCGAGAGTCGACGTTGCTGCCATAACCCTAACCCTAGTGGTAAGGGCTAACCACTTAGGGTTAGGGCGGAAGTTAGGGTTAAGTGGGGCAGCGTGGTAAAGGGAAGCTGCCCCCACCTGGCAGGGCCATGTAGGGTCGACACTAGACCCGGCCAGGTTGCTTGAGTGCATGTTTGTGGTGGTGAGACACAAGGTGGGACTTCGTGATGCAACTTGAGAGAGGCAACAGTGAAGGGCACCTACAACTTGAATCTGGACTTCAAGGAAGACGAGGAGTGACTTTAGGGCTCCCCTCAAGTTCGGCGAGCTTGAGGGTGGCAGCCATATCTGCACCTACGGACTGCAAGTTGCTGCTTTGATCTTCAACATCGACGGGGGATCCGGATTTGTACTTTGGGGTAGATGTCGACACTTCTAGATGAAAGGACACTAGTGTAGAGGATGCTAATTGTGTCACGAGGACTATGTGAGAGGGGGGTGAGTTCTTTCATCTCAAGAGCCCGACCACTCAGGTAAGTGCCATGCCGCCAGGGTGCCCATGTGTGTGTGCATGGAATTGACTGCCTGTTGGGGTTCTCTGGGTTCTTCTTCCATCCTCCGTAGTCTTGATTGTGTGTGAGGTGTGTGAACTCCTTACTCACTTGTCGAGTGAATGAATGGAGTATCTTGCTTGCCATGCTATATCGCTCTACAGTGCTTTCTTT